TTATTAACGACCAGATTTCTTTTTGACTGTTGGTGGTTTTGTCCAGATTATCAGCTTTATCTGAGGCTGTTTTTCCTCAAGGTCATGAGAGTGGTGGCAGGAGTATTGGTTATGTGCTTCCTTGTTCAGTCAAGTGAGAAAGAGAGGTACAGAGAAAGACTGACAGACTGCTTTTCCAAAAGAGCAAGGAACTTCCTTTTCAGTAGCCTCTTGTAAACCTCCTTTCAAATTTCAGTAGTCTGAATTAGTTCATGTGTCGACAACCAGTTACTCTGGCTGAGGGAATGGTCTAATCAGGCCCCACCTCTGGAGCTAAGATCAGCTTTCACTGAAGCATACAGCTGTATGCATAAAAGAGAGGCAGATAAAAATCTGATCAAGTTAAGAAAGTCCGTTGTCTACTTCTTGACTGGAATTGGGGTGCCCTGGGCAGAATTGGCTGACTAAACCATATGGGATGGATTCACCATCACCAAGAGACAAAGACAGGGCAAAGTTTGCTGGGCAAGCAAAAGGAATATATTCACAGCAGGTACTGCCCTACCTAACCTCCTCACACCATCTGCCAACACCCCATAGGCATACTTTTTGTTTCTGCTACTGGCACGGTGAGCCATCAAGACACTCTGAGGTGACTGCAGAATCACGTGATCAGGACGGCAATTTTTGACGTGGAGTAATGAGTGACATCTTTACTTGGATGTCCCATAAGCAGTTCACACAAATTCAGTGTGTTTAAAATTAAACTCACCAACTTCTTTCCCAACTAGCTCCTATAAACCCACTCTCAGTATAATGATAAACAAGCTATAATCACTATCTTTACACCAACTGTGTGTGGAGATATTAAAATAGGGAATTGGTCCATAATTACAGGTATTTTTTTAACCATATGAAAAAGACAAAAGAAGTGAACATGAAAATCGTTCTTATTCTATGTCTGGTTGGCATGTTTGGGGTAATTTTTCCTCTAATACTTTATTATTTTGTAAATTTCCTTTAATGCAGTTGTGTCATGTTTCCATTATCAATGAAGGACTTGCAAATAGAAGAGTCCTATGATACAACCCTACCCTATGGTCTCCTATATGGAGGTTTTATTACTTGTGTAGAAATGTATCCAATAATAGCTGCTTCAGAAAATGCATGGTATTTTACACTGAGAATACTGTTGATTAGCTAAGGATTTAATTTTTGACTGTTGTCTAAAACCAGTCGTCTACACTGCATGTTTATGTAAGTTAACATGATGTTAAAATAAGTAAAAATAATGTTCACTTCGGGAAAAAAAAAGCATGGTCTCTGTTTATGGATGATCTTTCTCTGGAAGTTAGTACAGTTTATACAAACAAAAGGCTTTTCAGGGAGCAGAATCTCCTTATTAATCTTAATTGAATAGTATATTTTCATTTAGCAGTGGTACCTAGTATGTGCCAGGCACTACCACTGTGTTACATGCTACAGATATGAAAATAAATACACACTGCCCTCAAAAAGCTTACACCTTAATGGAGAGGATAGCTAAACCAACAGTCAGCTACAGTACAGTCTGACAGATACCATAGCAGAGGTGATCACAGATTGAAGTAAAGTTTTGTCTTATGATTGCATTGTGACTTGTGGTTAAACTAATCTTTTTTACCCCCAGAGTCTTTCTTTAGTTCGTGTGGTAGTTTACATAAACTAAGTGAAGAGCCACTGATTCCTCCTCCACTTCCTCCTCGAAAAAAATTTGATCATGATGCTTCAAATTCCAAGGTAAGGAATTCCCTGGTGGTCCAGTGGTTAGCTGCGGGCTTCCACTGCCAGGGCACAGGTTCCATCCTTGGTTAGGGAACTATAGATCCTGCATGCTGCGCCTTGTGGCCAAAAAACAAAAACAAAAAATCAAATTCCAAGGTAGTCAACAGGACTTAGGTTTGCCTCAACTTATTCAAAGTTGTGAATCTTCAAAATAGTGCTTGTTTTTATAAAGAGTCTGTCAGTTACAATTTGGTCACCCATTATGGCTTTTAAATATTTAGGTTGTTTTATTTAGAAAAATACCTTGAATAATTGTTTAATCCTCATAATTTTTCTAAAAAAAGAGGCTGGGCAGATTCACAGATGCTCAGAAGTACTTTTATTTCTGGTGGAGATGGAAAGAACTTTAGTATTCAAACCATTCTCCAAACTTTCAGCTGGTGCTTCTCAAACTTTAGGTTGCATCAGAAGCACCTGGAAGGCTTGTTAAAACCAGATGGCCAGAGTTTCTGATTCAGTAGGTCTGGGGTGGGGCCCACGAATTTGCATTTCTAACGAGTTCCCTACTAGTGTTGATGTTGCTGATCCCTGGATCACACTTTGAGAACCACCACTGAGCCTCACTGGGGATAGTAGAAGTAAATGGCCAAAAAGCAGAAGCTGGATATTAAGTCCTCTTGTCCTTTCGTGTCCTTTCATGTTTACAAAGCTATATATTCTTTTTACTCACTTGCCCATTATTATAAATAAAACCATGTATTTATAAACTGTATATATAAAGCAAGATAATCTGAGGCTTTATAAGATTTCAATTAAAACATCTCATATATCAAAATATTAAACTGGGCCCTGAGTGAAACTGGGAGTAATTTACTCATAAATCTGATCATTAAACCAGATTTACCTGTTTTGAGGCTCTGGATTTAACTTAACACATAAGAATTTTTTAGTCTTCTTAAAACTTTTTCTTACAGATTTTTCAGGAGAACAGAGGTATAAATTAATCTTTTTGTTTTTGAGGGAACTATGAAATCTGATGATGACCCCCCTGCTATTCCGCCAAGACAGCCTCCTCCTCCAAAGGTAAAACCCAGAGTTCCTGCTCCTTCTGGTGCATTTGACGGGCCTCTGCATAGTCCACCACCACCGCCGCCAAGAGATCCTCTTCCCGATACCCCTCCACCAGTTCCCCTTCGGCCTCCAGAACACTTTATAAACTGTCCGTTTACTCTTCAGCCACCTCCACTGGGACATCTTCACAGAGATCCAGACTGGTTCAGAGACATTAATACTTGTCCAAATTCTCCAAACACTCCTCCTAGCACACCCTCTCCAAGGGTACCACGTCGATGCTACGTGCTCAGTTCTAGTCAGAATAATCTTGCTCATCCTCAAGCTCCCCCTGTTCCACCAAGGCAGAATTCAAGCCCTCACCTACCAAAACTGCCACCAAAGACTTACAAACGGGAGCTTTCGCACCCCCCATTGTATAGACTGCCTTTGCTAGAAAATGCAGAAACTCCTCAATGACCCTAGCCATATGTAGTCATTGACACTGGAATGGTATTTGTAAAGTTTTTTTTTTAATTTATTCAAAAAAGGCATAGTATTTTAGTACTTTTTAAAAATAATGCTCTTACAAAAATGCTACTGATCAAATAAGCTTTTAAATTTGGAAAAATAAAAATACAGAAGTCCTTTACCATTATCCTCAGGTGATCAGTAGCATTGCCTTGTCTTGGATCCTCAGTGCTGCCCAAAGGCCAGTATAAAGAATTTATATTTGCACTGTAGACTCTGCTAAAATATGGTTTAAAGTGACATTGATTGCACTGAAGGGGGATAGTGCATTTGTGGAATTTTTCAAATTTGAGTAACAGATGACTTTTTGAGGCAGTGAATTTATACACATATAGGGGGTGTGTGGTGATACTGATTTTCAAGCCTCTTTGACCATCTTCTAGTTTTTACATTTAGGAAGATCGTGGGTAACACCCACTGTTCTTAAACTCTTTAATGCCATGTCTTAAAAGCCAGAATTTGCTGCTGAAGACAAAAGTGAAAAATAGAACGAAAATAATAGAATGCACTGTTTATTGTTTTGTCGAAATGTAAACAGACTACCTAACCCAATCATAGAGGAAAAAAGGGCATATATCTTATACAGATGTGCCTTTTTGTTTTTGCAGACTATGGTGTCTTTAGCTAACGAGTTGCCTATTATTTTGGAAAACAAAGTTAATATGCCATACATGTACAGTTTTGTTTATATTGTACATTTAAAGATAATGCTAATAACCTATATAAATTTATGTGACTCAAGGCCTATAATACAGTCTGCTACTTTACTAATTCATAAAGCCGGAGGATAAGTTTCTTACGGCATAGGAACCAACTGCATTGCCTTCAAAACCAAGTAACTTTCTCTATAAATCTGGTGTTAACTAAAAATTTTTAAAGTATTTTTTTAGATTGGTAATATTTAAACCAGCAGACACTTAAAGCTTTATTAAACTTTTTAATCAGAGACGTGATTAAAACTTTTATTTGCCATTTGTACTCCTTCGTTCTAAGTGATGAAAAAGCGTGTTTTCCTCTTAGTGCCGTAGCAGCAGTTGTAAAGTAGCCAAAAGCCACATTGTTTATTTACTGGTCTGTGGCCTTTTACTGTGCTTTGTATCAGAGTTCCTAACAAGATTAATAAATCACCCCAGTCTTAATTTTTAGAAGACGTTTAAAATATGTGTTTTCATTATAAGGAACAAGGGGGTAAGATTGTTGAGTTCTGTAGAAGTAATATATACACACATTTTCAATAATTTGTGCAATTTAAGTTCCATAATCCCAAAGAATTTAAGTGATGTAAACTTCAGAGGGATAACTTTGTCTTCGCCGTTAAACGCAGTCAGAAGCTTCTTGCAACCATTTTTACGCATTAAGAAGAAAAATTAGGAGCATGTTAGGAATTCTCTGTAAGCAGGATTATAGCCATCCTTGGTAGGATCTTGGAAGCTGCCTTGATTTAAGGCCAGTAATAAAAATTTAAAAAGTGTGAATCAACCTCCAACTAGATAAAAACACTCATCAGGTTGGCTTTGTCCGGAAAAGTAATTTAAACTGCCGTTCGTTGAGGCCGACTTGTAATTTAGGGGAGAACGAGGCAGTACCGCGCGCAGAGTAAGCCTTGGCCTGCGGCTGGGCCACGCCGGTGGAACGCCGCCTTCCGGTCTTTGTGCCTTCGCGCACGCGCTGTGGCGCCAACTCCGCCTCCTGGAAGCGCCGGGCCCCTTGCAAGGCGGGGCCCGGGGCGGTCTTGTGGGTGTGACGTCGCTGCGCTCGACGCTCAGTGTTGCCGGGCGGCGATGGCGGCTTCCCTGGAGTCCTCCGGGGAGGAGCAACTGCGGAACTTCGTGCGAGCTTTGGAGAAGCGAGATGGCACGGTGTTACGACTACAGCAGTACGGCTCCGGCGGCGTGGGTTGCGTTGTTTGGGACGCTGCTATCGTCCTTTCTAAATACCTGGAAACGCCCGGGTTTTCCGGCGATGGGGCCCACGCGCTGAGCCGGCGGTCGGTCCTGGAGCTGGGCTCTGGCACCGGGGCCGTGGGGCTCATGGCTGCTACCCTCGGGTAAGAGCTTGGCGGGAGGTGACGCCGCTTTTCGGGAAACCCCGGTTACTGGCTTCCCATCCTTGTGCCTACACCTCAGTCAACGTTATTTTATAGGGCAGATGTCATAGTCACCGACCTAGAGGAATTGCAAGACTTGCTGAAGATGAATATTAATATGAACAAGCATCTTGTCACTGGTTCTGTTCAAGCCAAGGTACTGAAATGGTTTGTATGGCCTTTCAGCTTGTTTTAAGATAACTGTAGTCTGCTTTAAATTGTGTTACACTAAAAGCATGATTAATACGAAGGGGACTTTCTGGGTCTTGTTTGTAAAACAGGTAAAACAGGAATATTTTAAATTAGTGAAACAACAGTTTAAAATATTGGTTGACATTTTTAAGGGGGGAAGAAATAGAAGACTTTCCTTCTCCTCCAGACTACATCCTGATGGCCGACTGCATATACTATGAAGAGGTGAGTATTTAATAGTGAAGGCTCTTCCTTTAGAAGATTTAAACCGTATTTGGTGGATTCTAAAGCACGCATTTCTTCGCATTTTAACATCTGTGAATGCAGGATATTTGTTCCATAGTTGATGACACAGTAAAGAGAAAATAAAGGTCTCCAGGAGGTACATATATATACACTCATGATTAACATAGAGGCCCATGAAGCATATTGAGAAAAGTGTTATGTGCATTTTGCGAGAGGTGTCTGTAAAATTTTTAAAGGATTTTGCCATTTGGATCTCCTGTAAAAGACTAAGATTTCTTCTTTTTTTTTTTTAGTTATTCCTAGTGAATGTGTTAATCATGACATTAATAATTAAGTTGCATCGTAAAGAATTCATTGTTCTGTGGCAAGATTTATTATATTTATATAATTTTTTTTTAGAATATCAGTTTGTGTAGTGTTGTGGGCATCGCTCATTTTTTTCAATAATGAGCATTGAACCAACTTATGTTCTAGTTAGGGTTGGACTTGGTTTTGTAGGTAAATTGTTGATTGTTTAAATCCCAAGTTAAATTAGATTAAGTTAAATTTTAAGAGTGCAGTCAATTCCATTTGTTTACCCATGGGGACTCCAAAATGCAATCACTTGAATCCTTTCTCTGGAAACTGAAATTAATATGATGGTTGATTAGTTAAGAAGAGTTTACTAATCATCAGTTACAGATCTGTAACTACCTTTACTTGTTTGGATTGATTCAAAGATGGATGAATTGTAGGGAAATTATAATTA